GGTCCTCTTCTCTGCCAGCGGACGGCACTGCTGGCCACTGTGCCAGGAAAACCCCCCACTGTTCTCTAAGTTCAGAATCAAAACACAGCCCCTGCAGACGAGTTGCCCACAGCGTCCTCCTATCAGGGCAGGCAAGACTCATTCTGCAAGGCGCCGCAGCTTAGTCCACTGTCTGCCACAGTTATGAAGTGAGGATGAGCACGGAGAACACTTGAGGAAAACCATGAAACAGGAGCGCCCGCACAGGCATCAGCGCTAACAGTCAGCCCTCCCTCCACATGCCAGCACCGGCACTAACTGCAGGCTTTTGGGAGAACCATTAGACACAAGGTCAAAGGCTTTCTAAATGTATATGCCTTGCATTTTGATGTTCTGTTAAGTCTCAGGGCTTCACTTGTGGCCCAGGTTGCAGTGCAGTGATGCAATCACAGCTCACTGCCACCTAGAACTCCTGAGCTCAAGTGATCCTCCCACCCCAGCCTCCCAAGTAGCTGGGATTATACACACGCACCAGCACACCTAGCTAACTTCTTTTTTAGAGATGGGTGTTACTATGTTGTCCAGGCTGGTCTCAAACTCCTGGGCTCAAGTAATGCTCCCACCTCCGCTTCCTAAAGTGCTGGGATTACAGGCATGAGCCACTGCACCAGGCCTGGACTCTACAATTCTACTTCAGGCCGTTTTAAACTTGACTGAAGGTTAAAAAAAAATAAATGTAACTTCCCAGGGGGTTTAGCGGTTAGGATTTGACACTCTTTACCACCACAGCCCAGGTTTAAATTCTTAAGTAAATAAAAAAACTCAACTAAATGGATAGATGCACAACGCTCCCGATGGGAGGACCGGGGGTGTGATGGTGTCACTGCCTAAATGCGATTTATCAGCAAACACAATCCAGTCAAAATCCTTCTGGACTCTGGCCGGGCGCGGTGGCTCACGCCTGTAATCCCAGCACTTTGGGAGGCCAAGGCAGGTGCATCATAAGGTCAGGAGATCAAGACCATCCTGGCTAACATGGTGAAACCCCATCTCTACTAAAAATACAAAAAAAATTAGCCGGGCATGGTGGCAGGCGCCTATGGTTCCAGCTACTCGGGAGGCTGAGACAGAAGAATGGCGGGAACCCGGGAGGCAGAGCTTGCAGTGAGCTGAGATCGCGCCCACTGCACTCCAGTCTGGGAGACTGAGCAAGACTCCGTCTCCAAAAAAAAAAAAATCATCATCATCATTCTGGACTTTTAAAATTAGAATTTGGGGGCCAGGTGTGGTGGTTCATGCCTGTAATTCCAGCAATCTAGGAGGCCGAGATAGGCAGATCACTTGAGGTCAGGAGTTCAAGACCAGCCTGGCCAACATGGTGAAACCCCATCTCTACTAAAAATACAAAAATTAAGGCTGAGTACAGTGGCTCACGCCTGTAATCCCAGCACTTTGTGAGACCGAGGTGGGGGGATCACCTGAAGTCGGAAGTTCAAGACCAGCCTGACGAACATGAAGAAACCCCATCTCTACTAAAAATACAAAATTAGCCAGGCGGGGTGCAGGAATGCTTGTAAAACCCAGCTACTCAGGAGTGGAGCAGGAGAATCGCTTTGAACCCGTGAGGTGGAGGTTGCATGTGAGCCAGATCACGCCATTGCACTCCAGCCTGGCAATAAGAATGAGACACCGTTCTCAAAAAAAAAAAAAAAAACTACGGATGATGGCGGGCGCCTGTAATCCCAGCTACTCGGGATGCTGAGGCACGAGAATGGCTTGAAGCAGCAAGGTGGAGGTTGTAGTGAGCCGAGATTGCACCACTGCACTCCAGCCTGGGCAACAGAGCTAGACTGTCTCAGAAAAAAAAAAAAAAAAATAGAATTTGAAAAACTGATGGTAAAGTTCATGGAAAAAAAGATACATGAAAAAGCATACACTTTAAGTAAATGAGAAAAATCCTCCAACCTATCAAAATATACCATAAAACTACATAATTAATTAAAATGGCATAAAGAATGATACCAAGAAAAGATCAATGAATCAGAAGAAACCTCAAAAATACAGACCTTCTCCTGTGCACGTACAGTGTGCACACACCAGGTTGTCTGGGTCACTGTGTGAGTGTGCACACACACTTGCAAGTGTACACACAAGAGCATGCACACGCATGCACACACATGCAGACATGCTCACACACACATACGGGCAATCACACAGGCACACACATGCACAAAGATGCATGGATGCATGCATGCACACACACATGCACACACATGCACACGTGCACACACCGTCACACATGCATGCATGCACACAGAGACACATGCACACACACATGCTCACGCGTATGCACGCACGGTCACACGCATGCACACACAGGCACACAGAGGCACATGCACGCACACATGCTCACACGTTCACATACATGCATGCAATCATATGCACACACACGCAGGTGTACACACGCAGGCTTTTTTCCAAGCATATGTTGTTCTGCATCCTGTTTTTGGTACATATTTTGTACATGTTTTTTGTACAAAATAAGAGAAAGCATTTCTTTAGGGTATAATCCTTAAAGCAAACTTGGGGGTCAGGGGACACGCACATTTAAAATTCCATTGAACGGGTGCCACTCACTAAGCAGTGAGGGCATGTTCTCTCCACCCTGCACCCATTGCCCAGCACTGCTCTCGCAGCACCCGCCCTGGGGCCTGCCTCGTGATGCCCTCTACCCCGCCTTCTGCTCTGCTTCAGAGGGCACCACCCTCCCTGAATGTAAGCTCTGCTTGATGCTGCAGGTACTTTCTCCCCACCGGTCACTATTTTTAACTTTCCCTGTGGCATCATTTTCCACACACAGACCTTCCTATTTTATATGGGCAAATCCATCCACCTCTTCTAGATTCTGCTGAATGTCTTGCTCAGAAAACCTTAGCTAAGATGTGCTTGGAGCTGGTACACAACAGACTGCAGTCAACTGTCACTGCAAGAGAGGGGGTTGCTCACATTGAAGGTCTTCAAGATGACATCGGGGCAGTGTGGGAGAGGGCAGGCTGAGGCCGTGGGGACAGTCAAGGCACCTGGTGTTTATGAGGGCAAGGGCTCAGCACCCCGAGATGACTACAAGGTGGGAGAGAACGCAGAAAGGGATGTGGACATCAGCTGTCAAACAACATCTCCTGCAGACCATTTGTTACCGTTGTACGTCTCGTCAGGGCCTTAATGAGGCTCAACATTAGGCATCTCCCAATCACAAATACGTTAAGCAGCAGTAACCAAATCCTGCTGAGCAGTAGAAATACAGAAATTAAGGAGCTCGGCCTGGCACAGTGGCTCACACCTATAATCCCAGCTACTCAGGAGGCTGAGATGGGAGAATCACTTGAGGTCAAGAGTTCAAGACCAACCTGGGCAACATTAACAACACCCCCCTCTCTAAAAAAAGAAAAAAAAATTTTTTTTTCAATTAGCCAGGCATGGTGGTGCATGCCTGTAATCTCGGCTACTAGGGCGGCTGAGGCAGGAAGACCACTTGAGCCCAGGAGTTTGAGGCTGCAGTAAGGTGTGATCACACCACTGTAACCAGGCTGGGCAACAGAGTAAGACTTTATCTCTTGAAGAAAGAAGAAACAAAGGAAGGAGAAAGAGAGACAGAGAAGAGACAGAGAGAGAGGAGAGAAAGACAAGACCAGAAAGAGAGAGAGACACAGACGCCTCCACAAATGGTGATTCTGGCAAAAAGAGGAGAGTGAAGCACATCATGATCCTGTTCCTGCCCCACCACTCCCTGTAGAGACTGAAACTGGGGGCTAAGAATGGCAACTACATTGTACATTTGCAGGATCACTATTTTAAAAAGTCTAATAGCTTCTACAATCTACCTTTAAAACTAGTCTCCTGTGTTAATTACCATAAGCAAACATTCGAGGAATGAGGTCCCACTGTAAGGCTATGGTCAAGCCCTCCTCCAGCAGGTGGGCCCAGCGCAGGGAATCTGTCTGCACCCTCCCCATGCACAGCGGACTCTTCCTTTGACTGGTTAACACACCCGGCCTAGAGCCAGGAGGAGCCGTGGAGCCAGCAGAACAGGCCTCGACATCCTGACGAGACTCACCGCAACATAACGGAGCCCAAACTCCAAGAAACACCCCGAAGTGGCTCATCATGACATAACCAAGTGCGGGCTCCAGGGAGTGCCGCTGCCCTCCAGCTAAAGCCCCGGGACGTGGAGAAGGCCTGCGTGCAGCGGCCTCTCTCCCGGAAGCAAGGGCACTTCCGCTCTGCTGCTTTAATGGCAGAGAGATGGCGTGTGTAAGGGTGGGTCATGGCAGCGGCAATCGAGCCAGGCCACACCTAGGAGAAGGACACTAACAACTCTACTTCAGTCTGTCATTCGACCAGATTTCTTTAATAACTTACATGCAAACACACCATCTGGCTCTCTACACGGACAGACATGCAGCTCTTGACTAATGGGAGACACCCGTGGTAAACGTGCATCAGAAACCCCGTCAGTGACATTCCCGACAGAGGTGGAAATCAACAGAGGCTGAGCGGGGTTCAAAGAGAAATGTCAATGTCCTTCCTGTCTCATACCAGCTCCACGGTTTCTACACCAACTCGACACAGGAAGAGGACACCCTTTTAGTCAATGACATACCCCTATGGGGCTCCCGTGGGGCTCCCCTTCCCGCAAGCTGGGCACCCAGAGCTGCCTCCAAGGGTGTAAACAGAAGACCACAGGAGAAGAGCTGCAACACAGGCGAGAGGCTGGCAGCCAACGACAAGAGGAACCTGGAGAACAAAGCCAGGCAGCTGGCGCCCCTACACCTGGCCCAGGCTTCTCTATGAAGGGTCCAGAGAAAACGTGGTCTCCCAGGACCCAGCGAAGCTGGACTCCTGGACTGTGACCCAGGTTCCTCTGAGCCCTGGTATTCTGAGGTCTGTTCCCAGCACTCGGGCTCAGCACACAAGCACAGAAGAGCCACGCCTGGAGCTCAGCTTCTCATCTGGCTTCTTACTTGACTTGTTCCCAGGTCTTGGTGGCCAAATGCAGGACCCAGAGATCCTTGTAGTGGTAGAACTGCTCTCCGCTGGGAGAGGCAAACTCCCCTCCAAAGACCCACAGCTGTCCGCCACCTTGAGGCACCACCACCGCCTGTGAAAAGAAAGGTGACAGGTCACGGCACAGCCACACAGCAGCAGGGCCAGTGTCACGGGTGACCGGCAGTGGTGAGCGCTTCAGTACTATCTCAGCTGCCCCCCAACGTGACCGGCCCCACACTCAGCCATGTCCTCTCCTGCCTCTGAGGGGAGGATTCCAGAGAAGCACCCTCGTAGGAAAGCATGTCCTCAGTCAAGGCTCTGACAAACTTTCACGGATCCCTAGGTTGCAAAATAAACATCCATTTAAATGTAGACAATGCCATATCCCTTTAAAGTGGACACAGCTAGTTACTTTAAATATTAACAGTGGTGTGGTGCAACCTAGCAGTGTTTTCCTTTTACTAATATCTACAATAAAGCTGTCTGCCTGCTCTCGTTAATCCCTTTCCTAGCTGTTATGGACCAACTAAATTAGCCTCACAAGTACAATGTGCACCTAAAAGAAAGTGTTTATAGGCCAGGCACAGTGGCTCACGCCTGTAATCCCAGCACTTTGGGAGGCCAAGGCGGGTGGATCACGAGGTCAAGAGATAGACAGCATCCTGGCCAACATGAAACCCCGTCTCTACTAAAAATACAAAAATTAGCCGGGCGTGGTGGCACACACCTGTAGTCCCAGCTGCTCGGAGGCTGAGGCAGGAGAATCGCTTGAACCCAGGAGGCGGAGGGTGCAATAAGCCGAGACTGCGCCATTGCACTCCAGCCTGGGTGACAGAGCAAGACTCCGTCTCAAAAAAAAAAAAAAAAAAAAAAGCATTTATGTAATGTTTTCTCCTTTTAGAGACAGGGTCTTGCGCTGTCGCCCAGGCTGGAGTACGGTGGTACAATCATCAGTCATCACTCACTGCAGCCTCGACCTCGTGGATTCAAGTGACCCTCCCACCTCAGCCTCCTGAGTAGCTCGGACTACAGGCATGTGATATCATGCCCAGCTGTTTAATTTTTTGTAGCAAAGGGGTCTATGTTGTCCAGGCTGGTCTCAAACTCCTGGCTTTAGTTAATTCTCCCGCCTCAGCCTCCCAAAGCACCCTGGGATTACACACATGAGCCACCGCACCCAGCCTTACGTGACGTTATGAATGATTAATAAAGACTTCAGCACCACAGTAAAGGTGAAGGAGCGCAGTGGGAGTCACGTCCTCCGGGCCACACAGGGAAAGGCACTCTGGCAGCAGGGGATGCCGAGGAGAGAGCAGACCACCAACCAAAAACAAGGGCATCCCTGATGGGTCATCAGACACCACCAGCTACTCCACATGAGGCCCTCCGTGGCCCACTCCCTCTCAGGGCCCCAAGAACTGCGGGCGGCAGAGTCTTTAGGAGAAGGCCCACGTCCACCTGTGGGAAGAGCTGCCTGGACAGACTGCTGGGCTGCAAGCAGAGGCGGAGACCAGGCTCCACCGGGTCTTTCCTCCAAACCTGCAAGTTAAGCAGTGACCGGGGTCCAGGATGAGAAGAGCTCGCTCCTAGGCAGTCCGTAGTAGTAACCACGCTGGAGGGGGACCTTCAGTGCTGCATCTCCACAGGTGAGAGCCGCCCACCCTGCCCAGGTCACGCAGCCCAGCTTCGCGTGACTGTAATGCACCTGGTGGTGTGATTAAGCAAGAAAAAAAGGCCGGGCGCGGTGGCTCACGCCTGTAATCCCAACACTTTGGGAGGCCGAGGCGGGCAGATCACAAGGTCAGGAGATCGAGACCATCCTGGCTACGGTGAAACCCCGTCTCTACTAAAAATACAAAAAACTAGTCAGGTGTAGTGGCGGGCGCCTGTAGTCCCAGCTACTTGGGAGGCTGAGGCAGAAGAATGGCCATAGAACCCCGGACGCAGAGCTTGCAGTGACCCGAGGATGCGCCACTGGCACTCCAGCCAGAGGCGACAAGAGCGAGACTCCCGTCCTCAAAAAAAAGAAAAAAAAAAAGAGCGACGAGAGTAGAAAAGCAACCGTGATGGCATCCGGGCAGCAGGACTGTAAGCCCATTTCCGGGCTCAGCCGTGGTCATTTTTCGGAAGTTGGTTCTTTCATAAAAGCCTTTGTTTTATTCTTCTCGTTTCCGAGGTAAGGTTAGGATCTAGACAGGATGAACTAATGGCTTCCCACACAGGGCGCAGAGACGGGCTGTTCAAATGGATAGTGACAACCTTAATGAAAACTTAAAATGGTCAAGATGCGCCCAGGGGTGGGGCAGACAGTGGTCCTCAGGCAGGCTCACTCCCAGCACCTCTGAGGTCCGGTGCTTCGCCGTCCATACTTAGAAACGGCCACAGTGCCGCCCCTCTGCACTGATGCGGCTCCTTTTTGGACAGAAAGCGGGGGCAGGTAGCAGCAGCACACAGGGGTGGCATGTCCCTCTCCACCCCACCCACTTCCAGTCGTTCTTTGCGTCTGTCATCTCAGATGATGACTGACCTGTAAAAGGACAGGTCAGGTTTCCTATCATTCTAAAAGCCCAATAGTCCCACAGAAAGAAATTGACCAATTTACACCTTCACAGCAGACATGATGACTGGCTCAAGGCTGAAACTTAACAAATGTTTTTTGTTGTTGTTGTGTTGTTTTGTTTTGTTTTGAGACGGAGTCTGGCTCTGTCACCCAGGCTGGAGTGCAGTGGCCGGATCTCGGCTCACTGCAAGCTCCGCCTCCCGGGTTTACGCCATTCTCCTGCCTTAGCCTCCTGAGTAGCTGGGACTACAGGCGCCCGCCACCTCGCCCGGCTAGTTTTTTGTATTTTTTAGTAGAGACGGGGTTTCACCGTGTTAGCCAGGATGGTCTCGATCTCCTGACCTCGTGATCCGCCCATCTCGGCCTCCCAAAGTGCTTGAATCTAGAGGAAGTTAGGTGGCACAAACATGCCACCCGGTACAACAGAGTTTTAAAATGTCATCTCGTGGAAGACTATTCAATGCCATAGAACAATCCTACAATAATAGATCAACGGGAGAGAACACTATAGAAAGAACACATACACGCACGCTCCAGTTTGCATGAAATAGATGCACAGAAATATGAACTGGCTGGGCGTGGTGGCTCGCAGCTCTACTTCCAGTGCTTTGGGAGGCTGAGACAGGCAGATCATGAGGTCAGGAGTTCGAGACCAGCCTGACCAACATGGTAAAACACTGTCTCTACCAAAAACACAAAAATCAGCCGGGCGTGGTGGCATGCGCCTGTAATCCCAGCTACTCTGGAAGCCGAGGCAGGAGAATCGCTTAAGCCCGGGAGGCAGAGGTTGCAGTGAGCCGAGATCGTACCACTGTACTCCAGCCTAGGTGACAGAGCAAGACTCTGTGTCAAAAAAAAAAAAAAGAAAAGAAAAGAAATATGAACTGTACGTGCAGAGAAAACATGCAGAAAATATAAATTCACAGTTTAGGGAGAATGCACAATGGACTTTCCTTTTAATCCTTTTCATTTTTTATGGAATGAATACTTATGACTTACATTATCAGTCCCTAAAGCCATTCCTGACCAGGTGCAGTGGCTCATGCCTGTAACGCCAACACGATGGGAGGCTGATGTGGGAGGACTGAGCCCAGGACTTTGACACCAGCCTGGGTAACAAGCAAGACCCTATTTTTAAAATACAAAAAATAAAGCCATTCTTAAAAAATGAAGTCAAACGGCTGAACGCAGTGGCTCACGCCTGTAATCTCAGCTCTCAGGGAGGCAGAGGCAGGAGGATAGCTTGAGCCCAGGAGTTTGAGACCTGCCTGGGCAATATAGCAAGACCCTGTTCTCCACAAAAACAAAAACAAACAAACAAACAAAGATAAAAAAAAAAAAATGAAGTCAAACTCCAGGCAAAAGAGTGTAACCCACAGCACTGCTCTAACATCCTCTCCTCCATCTTAGTTAGAATCCCAGGCCTGACCCAGTCCGACCCAGAAGACCACACAAAGGCAGGCTGATCAGCGGTCCAACAGCTTCGTATAGCCTACGCCCCAAAGATAATGAACACCAAGGAACAAAATAAATATGATTCAAGGGAAGATTAAAACTAAGACCCACAGGTAAAACTTCCACTCCTGACCACGATGGAGCACATTAGCTCCCCGCTGTCAACAAGGAAAAAACCAGACGAAACCTATGAAGCAACAACGTCCAGACAACGGGAAGCAGGAAGTGCAGGACTGCGAACCTGAGAGCCAGGAAACATGCCAGGGAGCCCGACCCACGACTCCGGCCCCTGCAGGCAGCTTCTTCCCTGGTGCAGGGACAAGGGGCCCAGGCAGGGCAGGTGGTCTTGCACAGCTGAGGAGACAAGGACTGGAGTTCAGGGACATGGAGGCAGCTAAAAGTGACAGGGCAGAGCACTGGAGAGAGGAAGCTACGGGAGAAAGAGCCCTGGCAATCTGCACTGGGCATCCCCTGGAGTCTCTGCACACTAAGCTGCACCCTGGGAGGGGGAGACCAAGGAACCACTACTGTGAAGACAAAAGCATCTTCTGAACTGAGAACTATCTGAGCTTACACAGGGCTTGGAAACAGGCAAGTTCCAACCAGACGATGTGAAAAGATGTCACTGACCACACAGGTCATTTACTAAAGACTGCAGAAAGGCCACCACTGAGGGCTAAGCCAGCCCTAGAGAGAGTCTCAAAAGGATCAAGATGATCTGCAAGGAACTGAATCACCTGCCAGGACAAAACGCAACACTATTTGACAGATGAAAACATCCAGACACTCAGGCTGGGAGCAGCGGCTCATGCTTGTAATCCCAGCACTTTGGGAGGCCGAGGCCTCCGCACCAGCCGCCCATTGCCTGTCAGCTCTCCATGTGTCTACCAGACGCTCACGTGGGAAGAGGGAGGGCGGCTGAGAGTCAGTGCTGACATTACCTGGTGAGCACAGCGCCTCGGAGGTGGACTGGGGATGTCAACTTTGGTCCAGGCATCCTTTCTGATATTGTAGACATAGAGCTCGTTATACAAAAAAGTCTACAGGAAGGAAGAAGAATGTCAGTGTCACGAATGATACTGTGTCACCTCCAAGACAGTGGTGAGAACAATCTTAATCATGACAGTTCCCTGGGAAACTGACATCCTAAAAGCAATGGAAACGATACCAGTAATGCAGGGAGGCCACTGGGTCCCCGGGGGGGCCCTCGGGGATGGTGACACAATGAAAACGACCCACGGCCCAGGAATCTGGAAGGCACTGAAAGCCCTTGCTGTTGTTTACTAGGACTGGTCATTCTCCTAATTCAAGTCTAGTTTTTACGTTTTTGTTTTTTCTGAGATGGAGTCTTGCTCTGCTGTGCAGGCTGGAGTGCAGTGGTGCAATCTCGGCTCACTACAACCTCTGCCTCCCGGGTTCAAGCGATTCTCTGCCTCAACCTCCCGAGTAGCTGGGATTACAGGCACCCACCACCACGCCCGGCTAATTTTTGTATTTTCAGTAGAGATGGGGTTTCACCACATTGGCCAGGCTGGTCTCAAATTCCTGACCTCAGGTGATCTGTGGCCTCCCAAAGTGCTGGGATTACAGGCATGAGTCACCATACCCAATCAAGCCTAGTTTCTAAATGCACGAAAACTAAGAGGAAGATGGACAAACCCCCAGGTTTGTCCCCAGCAGTTGAACCCCCAGGGCCCATCCCGGGCTGCAGGGAAGGTAAGCTCCTGCTTTGGTGTTTCACACACAATTGTGAAACACAGGTCTCTCTGGCCTGCTCAAAAATAAAAAATAGCCCTATAATTTATCAGCACTTTCCCTATTTAAGACAACCTGAAAGCTGAGTGTGAAACCTGGAAACCCACTGGGAGGAAGAACGGCACAGACGACCACAAAGACAGGTCCGCCTGTCAAGAGTGATGACGGCGGAACTGGGGCTCAGTCCAAGTCCAAGGAACGGAGACCCCAGGACCACCGACGTCATCAACAGCCATGCCAGTGCCTGGACCATCCTGGCGACATCTCACGTCAGGCTGACAGCTCAAGTGCGTGATACGAGGGGGTGAAGGGGCCAACGCGTATTTGATGTCACTGCCTTAAGTTAACTTTCTATCAAGTGATACTCATGCAATATGGGAAGAAAAGAAAAAATATATACTTTACTTTTTGACCGTTGAAATATTCACCTCCGAAAAGGATTAATTCATCTTTCTCAGGATGAACCGAGAGGGAGGCATTTAACCTACAAAAGACATAAGCGGCAGGTCAGCACGGTCACCCCCCAACAACCACCGGAGCGGCGTCCCTTCCTCACAGAATCCTGTCACCACAGACTGGCTCTGCACTTCCTGAAAGCAGAGCCTGGCATTGAGAGAGGAAGCAAAGGTGCCACTTGAACACCAACCCCTCTACCAGTGCCCAGGGCCACACTCCAAGGACAGCCAAGGAGCTGGGGCTGGCACAGCGTCTGTGTGTTTTTAAAAAAAAAAAAAAAAAAAAGCCCCCAGCAGGGAACAAGTCAGATGCCCCACTGATGTATCAGATCGTCTAGAACTTCTTTTGTTTTTTTAGACTTCGTAGTTTCCCTCTTGTTGCCCAGCTGGAGTGCCAATGGCACGATCTCGGCTCACCGCAACCTCCACCTCCTGGGTTCAAGTAATTTCTCCTGTCTCAGCCTCCCGAGTGGCTGGGGTATTGCTGATGGTGCCGCACCATCTACAGCCCAAGTTTGAATTTTTGTATTTATTCTTTTGAGTTGAGGAGATGGCGGTTTTCAGTGTGTTGCCAGGCTGGTCTCAGACTCTGACTTCTCAAGTGATCCGTTCTCCAACGCTGTCTTTTCCCACTTTTTGTCGTCTGGATTATCAGGCTTGAGCCTTTTACTACACTTGCCCGGTCCACAGAACTTTGTCTTTTTTATTCATTCTAGTTGTTTCCTTTTCTTATTTCTCTTCAAAGTTTTACCGCTATATTTAATTTGTTCTAATTGATAAAGTTCAGTTTTATCTATGCCAGTGTTAGCTCTGGTTGTTTGGCTGTCTATGCGCTGTTTATATCCAGCATCTTTGGTAGAGGCCGAGGGCAGAGGTTGTATCATGAGGTTCAAGATTTGAATCGTAGGACCATCTCTGGGCCAACAATGGTGAAACCCTTTTTGTTTTAACTGTAATATACAAAGAACTAGCTGGGTCTAGGCATCGTGTCTCTTGTAGCACAGTACTCAGGAGGCTAATGACAGGAGAATCGCTTCAACGCCGGGAGGTGCGTGGGTTGCCTAGGAGATGAGGACGCGCATTGCACTCCAGCCTGGTGACACAGCGAGAGTTCATGGTGGGTGGAAAAGAATAAAAAAAAAAGTCCAGTATCTAAGTATTTTAAGTATTCAAAAAATACATG